TTACATAGCAAATAGTTGTTTGCTCTTATTTTCATCATTTCAATCTTATATATATCACTTTTTAAGACGTAAAGTACACAAAGTGTACTGTTAACTCATAAAAGAGCTGCAGATGTATATGCATTAAAGTCTAATGAACGAAACAACACTTGAATTAATCTGCAACCAATACATGGCCCCACCAGAGTACATAGAGCCAGTGATATCCAGTGGACATTGAGTTACGCACACACATTCAGTCATTCCCCCACTAATTCACCCACATGTCCTTTGTGTGTCCTCCAGGTGTTTGTAGAGTATGCCAACTCCAGCGACTCCAAAGAGGCTCAGAGGCTGCTGACGGGCCGCACCTTTGATGGGAAGTTTGTTGTGGCCACCTTCTATCCTCTCAGCGCCTATAAAAGAGGTTACTTGTACCAGACGGTGCAGTGAAGTCCTAAAGCTCAATTTACATCTCTGCACTGTTTGCATGAATAAAACACAACTGCATAGGGCACCACAAGGGGAGAGAGTGTTTTCTCCCTATAAATATAACCACAGCCAACACAGAGTCAAGAGTGGTTGCCCTGCAGCTCAAATGATTCAGTTATTAATGTTCTGCATGTGATCATGTGGTTTCCTACAGTAAATTCTGTGTTTCATGCAGAGTGTAAATTGAACCCAACACTAAACTTCTGCTTCCTCCAGCCTGTGTACACTACTCTTACCAGTGCACATCCATGTAGTGCTTCAAGGTGACCTGCATCCATTCATTTAATGACTCAGGCTGATAGTCTGTGGTCTGGGTACAGCAGCTCCTCTTCTGGTTTCCAAATTTACTCTCATTCATTCAATAGAAATTAGCCACACTAAAAGAATGTGTAATCAAGACTAGAAAATTCCTCTCTGATGAGGGTTGCTCGAGCAAAAGCCCTCATCAGATGATCTGAGAATCTGTGCTCTATGTTACTAAGTAGTTCTACATATCTAAGTTTTATCTCTCTTGATAAATTATCAGTGAAACACTTAATCTCGACAGTTGAGTCTGGGATGTGATTAGAAACATGTAGCAGGAGAACACTGATATTATGTCTCAAACTTCAAATCCTGATGACAAACAAAATCCCTCTCAACTGAAGATTTCCTGTAGTGAAATGAGTGTCTTATCCTGTTGTTAAATAAGGAATGATAGTAATTATGTTTGTTATGCTGAACATTTAATGAGAGGAAACAGCGTGGTACTAGGATATACAGGTATACTCTGCTTGGTTTCAGGGAGGATTGGTTTGGAGTGAGCCATCTACCAGCTCACTCTCTATTATCTGAGCAAGCCAAGGGCTCCCAGCGCCCTGTCCTGTAGCCTTATGCTTTGTAGCTTTTTTAATTTACACAAGTCTACGTACTCAGAGAATATATTTTATCATTAGTTGACTATGCTCCTGTATATGAGGACATACAGTAAGTTTTGTGTTTTGACTGAAAGGGCACATGAACAAATCTTTTGGAGCACATGCTGAAAAACCGACTGACGTATGAGTGAAATGCTGGTGAGGAGTGGTTTAAAGCCACTGTGTAGCTTCTTTCCAATTTTTCTAATGGCGTAGGTTGTTTGTAGACAATCCTGGTGGAAACTGGTGCGGTGTATGTTTTGCTTTCACTAAAGTTGGACATTTTCCAACACATAGTGGCTTTAAAGAATGTGCAGTACTGATGGCTACTGTACTAACTAGACAGATGAAGTGTAATGCTATACAACCTTCTAGTGCTTTAACTGATACTTTCAGTACTACTGAGCATGAGCCAGTGGATTCATTGGTAGACGGCAACATCACAGAGGCATCAGACATTGTTTCTGTCAGTTTCAAGAAATGTTGCGAGTTGTATGACAATGTAGTGAGTTTTATAGATCAATAATGTGGACAGAAGTGTCAAAAAAAGTGCAGTTTTTATAAGAAGACTTCTTGAAACCAACAAAATGATGTCCAGGAAGAAGCGTGATAATGTTGGGTTGCAGCAACAAGGGGTCAACAAGCGTGGTATTGCTGCAGTGGAATGTACCTTTTGTTGGAGAACCAGATTCTTTTGTTCTCTGGGTTTTTATTCTCTTGCTTCCACTTGATAACAGTGGATATGTAGTACCCATCAAGCCCACTCTGTCACACTGAAACATTAGGCGATTTCTACCCAAGTGCCCTATGACATTCAAGCTAGCTAACTAACCAAAATGCTGCTATAACAACAGGTTGTGCTACACCTGCATGCGCCCATTACTTACGTAGCCCAAGCCGTCGCAGATGCCTTAGAGAATAATTCCCTTCTAGCAGATGTAGTTCCACCCAGTAACAGAGCCAGACTGTTAGAGACAATAAAATGGAGTAGTGATCTGTTTTAGTTTCTTCATAAAGTGGCAAAACACCGCGGTGTGACAGTGCTGGCATCAGCTACAGTAAATGCTAAACTCACAGTATTTGCTAAACTCACAGTATTTGCTAAATGCCGAAGCTCTTTCTTCTCTAATAGTTCCATAGTCTTGTTTTAAAGTCTGGTGTGTGACGAGCCGCAGCTTGTTCACTCATGTTCTAGAGCACAAACATAGAGTCTAGCTCCATCTTGGATAATGTGATTAAAGTATGTGAAAGAAACTAGATATTCATATAGAATAAGAGAATATTTGAAGCTTACAGATGCATAAATCTTCCTCTCTCTGAGACCTATTTTTATTGAATGTGTTACTCCTTCCTCTATAAGAGAACACGTTGAAATTCTGCAACTAAAAATGTAAAAACCTAGAGTCGGAGGACAAGTTGCAATTTTGTCTTATCAAAAATACTACTAAAAAAGTCATATTTTTCTACAAACCTTATGTGTGCCTGAAATGTGAATTCCAAAGTTTCCACTTGAAGGCATCACTGGCCTAAAAGAATCTCAATTTGAAACTTGAATTGGACTCCAACCACTTGACTACACAGCACTTTTTGAATTAGCAATCTGTGGTACGCAAGTGTGATGGTCAGTGTTGTTAGTTACATGTAACATTTTCCTCATTTATCCTGTGGTTTCTCAAAGACCTGGTGCAAAAAAAATGTCTTTGATAAAGTCGAGATATTATTTTAAGGCATTTGAAGTTTGATTTTCACTCCATGGTTTGTTTTCGATAATGCGTGACAAGTGAGTGTGAGTGTAAGCAGTGCTCTTTACTTGGTATTGAAATACTGTGCGAGCGTAGAATTGAAAAATTTGAGCTTCTGTATTAGTGAGTGTGCGTATAATCATAAGCAACAAAGGTCCCCAGCGGAAACTCAACCGGGGGCCGTTGTAGTTAAGTATGTGTCTTAACCACTTGGTCACCAGGTCATATTTGCTGAAACTTTAACTATATGCTGACAGTAGTACATGAGACAGATAATCTGTATAGTTTCAGCAAATATGACCGAATGACACTTTTGTAATATTTAATATTGAGGGTTTTTATCCTCACACATACATTCATCACATGGTCTTCCACACCTAAACTGAAACTTCATTTCCAAATCTCTGTCCTGCCTTGTCCCTTAAGTTTTAAATTTGCAGGAGCTGTGATAGCAGCAGGTGATAAAACAGAGAAGCACAAAGGCAAAGTTAAGAGTAGATACCAGGCCAAACCAAATATGACCTTTATGTCACCCTACCGACTGACCATCCACTGAATCGTCTATTAAAGCCACACTGCCATTGTTAAATGCACTGCTACATGATCAGTTTATAAATGCTACATTTATTGGTTCTTCCGTCATCTTGTATCACGTACTGGAGGCCGGTACTGATTCTGAAGTGTTGGGTGTGCATTAATGTTAGCATTAGGTTATTGGTTGAAGTTATGGTTTCTAGTGTTTGTAGTTTACATAGAAAAGGGCAAAGCAGGTTTCTATTGATGGCTGCACCTTAGAAGTATAATGTAACTGTCCTGCCTTTATGGATGAATAAGAATAACTAATTGATCCAGCGTTTGATTTAGAGCCCCACTGATATGGGACTTTTCAGACCAATACCAACTTTATAGGCCAAACATTCAGCGATTACCAATATGCTTTAGTACATTTCTGAGCTGGAATGAAAAATAGTGCAAATAAATTATGCACCAATTTGTTTATAAAATTATTCTATGGGGCTTTTGTATTGTTTTTTGTTTTGTTTTTTGCCTTTATTGGGTAGAGACAGCGAAGAGGCAGACAGGAAACAGGGGAGAGAGAGAGCGAGAGAGGTATAACATGCAACAGGCATGCGCTGTAACCATTCAGCTACCAAGGGGCTCCGATTGTGGACCATAGGACTCTGCCAAAGTACGCAGGAGGCTGCTTTCTTAAACAAACGTATTTAAGTTAGATATTCTGAAACGTTAACATCTACATTGTCAACCGATTCTAGTCAACACTGCTTAGAGCTGTTTTTCTCTCTCACTCTGCAGTGACACCAATTTATTACCACAGGAACCTTTTTATGCATTATATACTAGGGTGAAAAAGCGTACTTTGATGTCAAAAACCATTGGCCACAAAGCACACGGGCCGTAAACATACCGATATTTCTGCTACAGGCTAATATCGGTCGGGCTCTAGTTTGACGATATCTGTAGTACAGATTACATAAACATTAATAGTCTAAGAAATAACCTGCATCCACAGAGCTCTGAGCGTCTATAGTGGAAATCTAAATATTTAGCAGTGTTTAAATATTAGACTCAAATATTTATTGAGGCTACTGTTGACCTGAATTATATAATATCAGGTGGTTTGCTGCATGCTGATCCTGTTTTTGAGTAGGAGCTCATTTTAGTTGTAATCCATCTTGAGCTCTAGGATAAGCATAATTTTTTTGTTTGTTTACACAGTGATTTCACTTTTATATTATTATCTTTTGCTTAGATAGTTTTTCTCTCTCTGTGCAGAGGGCATGATGTTTTTGTTCCAATTTAAAGCCGCAATAGGTAACTTTTTATAATAAAAAATAAAAGTAGAAAGGAAAGATTGCGTTAGTCTCTTGAAGATGGTTGATTGTTGAGTCTTATTCCAGGCGTCTATATTTGACAACCTGGGAATGAGCCTCAACAATCAACTATCTTTCTTGGCTCTGATTGGTTGTTGGATTCTTACCATTAGGAGCACTTGGAGGAGCCAGAGGAACCGGATTTTTTCACAGATTATCTGTCTCATGTACTACTGACAAACGTTACTTTTATAAAAGTTACCTACTGCAGCTTTAAGTGTGTGCTATGCAGGTTAAAAAGACTCCTGCCACCTGTGTGAAGCAGTGTACGCACAAAAGTAAAATCCTGGTACACTGTCTTCATTTCACACTGTTAATATAACACCCTACTAATGTGATGTGTGCTAATGTGTGTACGTACTTAATGCTCACTGCCAGAGTTAATCATTAAGGGACGTAATCCAGTTTGACGTGAATTGAGCACTTCAGTCAAGCAGCATCATGGGACATAAGATTCCAGTGTCTCATTATGATCTGACATGGACATCATTTTCTACCAATCAGCGACAATATGCAAACTGAGGCCAACATCTCTTTTTATTATCAGTTTAATCAGTTCATTACTTTATTTTTTAGATTATTGTGTTTGTTGTGGACTGTAGTACTGTTGCTGAGCACAGTGCTGGTCAGCAGGGACAGAGAGGGGACAGGGTGGAGAGCAGAATCAGATGCCTCTAAGAGCTCTGTCTGTTGGGGGATACTGAGCCCAAAGTGATTTTCTTCCGGTTATTACTTCATATTGCGGAGCTGAGAATGAGTTGAAGCTGTCTTGCCACAACCTCCACTAGCTTCCAGTTAAACAGAGGACAGACAGAGGCCTCTGTCCTGTAGGGATTCAGTGGGGATGCATGAAGTTCCTTGCTCCTTTTGCCTTCATGCTTGGCTCCAATTTCTTCCCGCCTGGCCTCAGTGTCCTCCATTCCTGTCTTTATGTCTGTCTTCAAACAAGCATCTTTAGTACTTACTCTTCCGGCTTTTAAAGCTGTATTAGGTCAGATTTGAATCCGTCTTCCCATCTGTTTGAATTATTCTGTTATTGTGTGTGGACATTAAAGGGAACCTGTGCTCGCAGAAAATAACAGCAACATCCAAACAGTCTTCTGCACATGCAGCAAAATGTAGTTGAGTTTGGGTTTTCTTGACTCTGCATTACATGATTTATGGGTGTTTAAGTCTCAGCAACACTTACTTCTCACTGCCATCTGGTTCTGCCAATGAGCTAAAGCAGCATAAGTTGGTTTATGTCCCATTTTCTGTCATCTAAGATGTCATTTTTCCTTCTTCTTCCTGTCTTTGCTGCTCAGAGTGGTTCCTTTGTGCACTGACAGAGATTCAGGGCTGTGCTTTACTTTCATGGCACCTGACCTCTAGGCCTGACTTTGATAAGCTCTCAGCACATTTGCATTAGTGTGTGTCTAGATCATCTGGACAAGGTGTGTGTGCGCTCATGTAGAGGATGAAGTAGCGGTAACAAATTATTACCATATTTGGAGGCAGGGTTTATAAGTTGCAAGAGCTGTCTACCTGTGTGCATGGTATGCCTGTGTGAGACAGTTATATGTAACATTGTGTGTCAGAGATTTTGTGGGTGTTTGTGTGTGGTGTTATTGCTAAAGCACTATATGCCTGTTTGCTTGCAAAGGGCAATTTTAAGGACAGTGTGAGTGCTGCCAGCCTTTTTTACTGTGATGTCTATAGTATCCATTCCTATTAACAAAGCACACATTATTTAAGGCTAGTGTTGAAATTCTGTACAGCACAGAAGTTAAAAGGTGAAGTGCAGTGTTGTCCAGAAAAGATCAAATATAGAGAAAATGAATCACGTGCTTCATTCTGCTCAACAGAGCCTGACAAACCTCTGAATGAAAAACCTCACAGACTGAGGATGGAATTAGTCAAGTGAAGGTAACTAAGAACAATCACACTACAGCAATCTCTATGTTTACATGCGCAAAATAGTCCGTTTTTTGCCTTTATACTGAAAGACAATATTCCTACTAATCTGTTTACTTGACTAATGAAAATGAGACATTCTGATGTATGCTGTGCGTACTCAAGTTAACGTAACTGTTAATGACGTACTCTACGACCTACAGAGGAATTTCCCGTCTTTTCCTTCCTTTTCTATACTTGTACTTTGCTGCCAACAGATTTTTGTTTTGAAATAAGAAAACCAAGATCAGAAAATGAGCCATTTGCTAACATAAATCTATAAAAACAGAAAACTAAAAATCTACTCAAAATGAAAAAACAACCTGTGTTCTGTTTTTTGGTTTTGAAAATCAAAACAGAAAAGGAAAACACAACCCGGTCTGTTCTCCATATTCATAAATAGTGGTTTGCTTTTCTCATTTCAAAATAAGTCTGTTGGCCGGGAAGTATACTGTGAAAGAGTTTTTCCTCTTTTTCAACCTGCAGTCAGGTTGCTCCTGTGGTAAAACTGGAACACCCAGAGCCACTTGAGCCATTTTGTCTCTTTGTGTCAAGGATTTTTTTGGTGGTGGACTTATTCAAACGTGGAGAACAAGCTCTCTCCCTTTTCAACCCCATTCAACCAAATCCTGAAGAGGTCAGCTTTTGTTATCATTTGCACCGTCGTAGAAACCTTTTGAGTCTTTCATGATGTTTAAAAGCAGTCCTGTTTCTCCTTCTGACCACAAATATTGGCTTTACTTCTGTGCTTGCATTTCTACCCCAGCCTCACAAACTGTTGGCTAGTTGGTTTGTTTACAAAGCACAGAGCTGAACATACAGGCCAGAGGCGATGTGCCGGAAACTGCAGTAAATAACCCCAAATGAGACACGTGTTCCGAATGCGCTGTGTGCATGTCTAAAGAAGGCTTCTACAACCTGAATAATATTGACACGTCCCACATGTCTTAATCAGAAAATGCTACAATAAGACCTAATTATCAATATCCAAACAGAATACACTGTTTACATGACCCTTATCCAATGTGGAATGTTGTCATTCTCTGTATAATAGTGGGAAATGAGTGTGCATGTAAATGTAGTCAGTGATTATACCTTCACATGTAAATCTGTTGGGTCATTCTTGGGCTGTCCTTGCAGTTAATGTGAATAAAGTGTTTACCAGTTACAGAAGAACTATGTGAATAACTAATGTCATTTTAAAGCTGCAATAATCAATTGATTTTAAGGGTCAGAAAACTAAAACAACTATCCAGTATAGACTGATCTTTCTCTGTGGGCTTTGGCTCTACTGTTGATTAGTGCAGCTTTACCTGCCTGTGTCACATTTGAATATTTTGGCATTTACATTTAAAATTGAAGAACTAAAAGCAATAATCTAAACAGAAATCTGCCTCCTAACCAGGTTTGTGAATAAATGTTGAGACCAAACTGTCAGACAACTCAAAAACTCATTTGATCAGAAGGGGGAACTTGCACAGATGTTATCATCATTTTGAGTTTAAACAACTCAAAAATGTCTTTAAAAAAAGACAGTCCTTGTGACAATTGTTGCCTTTTTGGTTGAGGTTTTATTTGAACCAGTGAGTAAAAGTTGGTATTTGGACAGTAGTTGAGAACAGTGGGATGATTGATTTGGCCCAAATAATTCAAAAGATTTTTCTCAATTTAACATTAAAATATAAAGAGTTTGTTTCTGTTCTCAGATAATCCATCCTCAGTGTCAAACTGGACTTTTGTTTCTAGACTTTTGCTTACAGGAAGCACAATGTGAGAAGGTCACTGTATGCAACACACACACACAACCTGTATAAAACTGTGAGTTAGTCCATGCTTTACAGCCTTCCAGTTGAGAGTGGATCATGGCACTCATGCTGTTGTATTTGAGTATCTCATAATAAAATGATGCTTGACTTGAACTGATATTTGTCTGTTTTTGGGATGAATGTAATGACAGGGCAATAGATGTATAAGGAGATAGGAGCAGTTTAATTTCACTATACTCTAATAATCCTAGTGAGAGAAAGCATGTTCTTATCAAAGGTTTTATTCTCACCAGTAGTCATCAATGACACCAGATTTCCACTTTTTGAACAATGTGTAACATGATCTAACAGTTCTATACAGAACTTTTAAAACAATTTAACTCAAAATCTAACAACAAATCCACAATGGAGACAAATCCTATCAAGTAGTGATCCATGGAGCTCTAAGGTGTGCTTATATGCACGTCCAAAATGAAAGATGTCAATAAATGTTGGACCATTATGCCATGTGGAGTTTAAATTTCATACCAGGACCAGACAGTACATGTATTCCCTTTAAATCCACTCTGAACAATAATGTTGAGTGTGGTGCCTCTCTGTGGCTGCTGTTGGATCTACACTGAGATACGCCCCATACCAACAAACTGTGATGCACTGTGTGTTCTGACCCCTTTCTATCAGAACCAGCATTAACTCTTTCAGCAGTTTGAGCTACGGTAGCTCGTCTGTTGGATCAGACTCCAAACCATGTAATTTGTGCGATATTGTAGAATGTAAACTCCTCTTAAGGTGATTAACCCATTAATGTCCACAGTGGGATTCTATTTAGAGCATTTAAAGTAATAGCTGAGCTAAGCACAAATCTGTTAAAATGTCAGTCTGAGGCTGTAGTTGGTTGTAGATATACATTGTTTTTTTTGTCTAGTCACAAGGGGTTGCTTTTTTATTTTCTGGGAAAACACCTCTTCAACAATAGGTTTGGAATTTCAAATCTTGATTTCGATACACTCAAAAACTGGATTGTTACAATATAGATTAAAAAACTAATATGATAATCTGTTGCTTTGTTTTTTGGTCCAATATTTCCATTGTGTTGACCTTAGAGACATTGTATAATGTATTATGGGATAAAGTGAGTAACTCATTTTGACTAATGACTAAATATCAAATGTGTGGTATGTGTTGGATTCAATAATATATCCAGTGTAAATCTGATATTTAATTAATGTTATGTTTGTCATTTTGTCATTTTAAAAAGAAAACCTACTTTGTTTGCACACATTTACATCGAAGGGTTTTAGGCTCAAGCAGTCCCAGTCTGGGACTAAGTTCTGTAGGCTGAGATGATGCCTTCCAAAAGGTTTAAAATGTCGCCATGTTACAAAGCCGGTGACAAGATGGTGTCTGAGGGTCATGTCTTTACCAACAAAGGTTTAAATGATTAACCTACTGGCTGCCTAAGTATTCTCACAGCTTCAATAAAATGGTTGAAAACCCTTGAAAGTAACCACAATACTGTAAATCAGTCACTCTGTGACTGGTAATGAAGACGAAGTGATGAAGGGAACAAATGCTGTCAAGAGATTTTATTCAAATTCAGAGATATACATGAAAAGGAGTCAGGTGACAATCTGATTAAATAGATCAGTTAGTTCTCTTATCCGGTGAGTGCTGATTTTATTCTTTTGCTCAGGACATCATGGAGTGGTACGAGCAGATGGTAACTCTTTGGTCGACTGCCCCTGTAATGAAATAGAGACACATTTAGTACAGATTTCTCAAAATGCAAACTAAGATCATGACAGTTTGCTTTAGATAAATTACTGTAGCACAAATGAGGCAGTAAATTATTGGTAACGACTCACACTCACACTCACTTCCATGAATCCAGGCATGTCCTGTATGATTACCACCTCGTCGCTCTCCTGCAGCCTCCTACTCCTCCTCACCCTCAAGGCAAAGAGCATAGAACCCACCAACATGGCTGCAGCCACAGACAATGCCACAGCAGTGACCACTGCTGGGTTATTAGCAGCTCCCTGATGAGCACCTTGGTTGGCAGCCTTCATCAGACCAGCATCAGTGTGGACTGCAGAGCGAGGTAGAGGCTGAGATGCCAGCAGATCAGATATATCTGAGGACAAGTAGACACATTTCAGAGACAGGGAGATCTTAGGGTATAGATATCAAGGGTCCTGTCTAGTGTCTGAATGACTCCACACCTTCCAGACTGAAGAGGAAGAAGGCATCATTTCCTTTGATGAAGTTTCTGCTCTTAAGCCTGCTGTGGGTGATGAAGGTACTTGTTCCGGTGCCGGGACCTCGATAGTAATAGCTCCCATCAGACGCAGTCACTTTAGAGCCCACCTTCCTGGGATTGTCCCAGTAGTACTCAGTGCCTGGGAGAAACAGATGATCTCTGTTGGATGGACACAACAACTCACTAAAATCCATTCCACGCCACAAGTTATCCATTTTCTCTTACCATCAGAGGACATCTTGCCAGGGTCGGTGGTGACCATGCGGTGCATGTTCATTTGCTGTCTGACGTCAGACTGCTGATCCATCAGGGCCATAGTTCCCTGCTGCCATGGACACGGCCACTTGAGGTTGTGGTCGTTAGGGCCTGAGGTCAGGTGGAAGTAGGTGGCCATGTAGCCTGGACGGTCGCTTCTTCCGTTTAGGTACACACCTACCTTCAGATCACAGATTACTTAAGGTATGTACTACCTTTTTTTTTTTTTTTAACTTAAATGTTTAGATTATTCAAAAAATGGTTGCAACAGAAATCTGTGCAAGCATGTGATGGTAATGTGAGTTAATTGACCATTTGCTAAACGCCTCCCCAGGACAATAATTATCCAGTTATTGCTCAGTAAGTGGACCTAAGCACAGCAGGGTGTGTGGAGATTTCTCCGTATGACAAACCATTATCAATAGTAATGATAAAGCAGTAGAGATTACATTCACTGTTACATCTGGATAAAAAACTGAAAGGACTTTTCTTTCAGCATCTCTCACAATTGCTCGTAACATTTCTAATCAATAATCGTCTATAATAACATTTCTAATTGCAAATTTTGCTTTTCATGTGTGCAGTGTGTCTTTGGCCTGCACTCAGTTAATTAAAGAAGCAGAAATAACATCACATCTACTAAGGCTAAGTCCTTGGGTTCGAACCTGACCTGTGGCCCTTTGCTGCGTATCATTCCTTAACTCTCTCCCCTCCTGTCAATCTACAGCTGCCCTATCAAATAAAGGCAAAAAGTATTTAAAAAGACAGACAACGCTTATTATTATGAATAATTTAAGTGTAAGGCTCATGTTTACACCTATGGCTGAAATAATGGGTTGGGAACTTGCAATGGAAGAGGAGTGGATTCATTTATCTGCTGTAACCTAAGCTGCAATCGTTAGTCTGGGTGACTAGCTTACTGCCAACAGCAGTCACTGCGGGTTACTAGGTTTTGCATATTGTTTGTTGAACTTTAAGTGACTGCTACAGGCCTTGCTAAATGAATGTCTCTGTATTCTTAAAATATGAAA